GGTAGGCCTTGTGTGCCATGCTCTCCAAGTCCTGTTCCAGCTCTTGCAGGCTCTCCCCTTTAGCACTGACTCCCGCCCTGTACCTAGCCTTGTAGACTTCTGACTAATTTTGGGTTCCATACCTGAGTTCTAGAGTCGCTACCAGTGCTCTATATTTATGCCTATCATCTGCTGACAACTGTCCAAGTATTTCCAGTGGTTGTCCCTTCAAGCTCGTTGCCAGATATACTGCTTTCTGCTCCTCTGTCCATCTGTTCATCTCTGCCAGTAGCTAAAATTGTGCTCTATACGCTTCCCACGGTGCTTTCCCATCGTGTTCCTGTGGCTTCCTTCGTACTGGATCACTCCTAGTACTGACATTCATATCTAGGATGTGACTTCTAACAGGACTGAAGATGTCTGCATTAGGGTTTAGCTGCGGGCTCTGTAAGGGGCTTGTCATTGTCTGGGGCTGGTTAAGTCGATGGCTAATGTATCCTCCTTTTGTAAAAGACAATAAATCATCCTTTAATGTACCTAATTCGCTTTTATACTTACTAATGTTTTCCATTTGTACTTCTTGTTTTCTTTCTTGTCCCAGTTGCCACTGCTGTAGTCTCTCTTCTTGTTTCTTTTCTCGTTCTTCTTGTTTATTTTCTTTCTACTCTAACAACTGCTGTAATTTCTCTTCTTGTTTATCTTCTTGTTTATTTTCTTTCTCCTCCAACCACTGCTGTAGTCTCTCTTCTTGTTTCTTTTCTCGTTCTTCTTGTTTCTTTTCTTTTTCTTCCAACAACTGCTGTAATCTCTCTTGTTTATTGTGCTGGTCGAGCTGCCATTGTTGCAGGTTTCCTTGCCACTGCTGTGATCTTTCTTCTTGTTTCTTTTCTTGTTCTTCTCGTTTCTCTTCTTGCTTATTTTTTCGTTCTTCTTGTTTCTTTTGCTGTTCTTGTATTGCTGACATCAAATCTGCTAAGCTGTAGTTTGATTTGCCACTTCTCATTTCCATCTTCTTTTTCTTTTCTTTTTTCAATCCCACTTCTGACACCAATTTGTTACATCTCTGGTCGTTAGTTAATTTCCCGTAAATTATTTTCCGATGGAACTTTAGCGACACAAGTCATTTCTTAAATAAAACTAGTTTATTCTTTCTCAATTTAAACTTAATTTCGACAGTCACACTATAACTTAAACAAACGCTATAATTGACAATGAACGACTCATGCGCTTGACTCAATTGTCCATCTCTATCTCTGTCTGCAATTCAATTACATTGTTGCCGTCACTTCTTGGTGGTCTTATATACAAGAATACTGCACATCTAGTAAACACTCGAGGCTTCACGAAGGGACATGAATTTTCTAGAAGCTCATGATGTGTTACTAGCGTCACATGACTTCTGCTATCGTAACAATATCATACTATACCACAGAGATGTAACAAATAATCAAACAAGCACTACTATCAATATCATTGACATAACATATTTTACATTTTCTTCAAATTCTGGAGAGAGAGAAAATGGTTATAATTTTGATCTATGTTAATTGGGACCACCAGTATAATTTAAGCCAATTTTTTTTTTTTCATACAATCCCTCATCAGTAACACTTAAGATAACTGAAGATAAAGATCAAATCCTATATGAAAGCTAGATTGAAATAAATTAAAACTCAAAGTCATTACAAATTGAAACATACCACTATGGAGGTTCTGCTATAAAACAGAATTCCAATTAATTAGTACTAGGGTCTGAGAAAATACTTAAGTATGTTTATCCTTCTTCTTTCAACATTAAATATTTAGTCAAGTCGAAAAATTTATAGAGAACACGTTAAAAAAATGAATTATTTTCTAGAATACTTTTTTGTTCTGTCACAATAAAAGCAACTATAAGATATAAAGTTAGAACTATTTTTATTCCCACAGTGTAAACGCTTCTACCTTAATTGTTGCTTGAATGAAATAATATGGCATTTCAAACCATTTGTATCATTTTTCACACTATAAGAACTATTTACAAACCAACTGTTATTGTTAAACATATCTCATAAAACTACTACTAAGGATGTGTTTTTAATAAACTTATGTTGTGACGTGCTAGTTTTATAAGCTACACCTCATAACTTGTAGCAAACTTTTCAAAGCCTAAATAATATTACAGTAAAATTTTCACACAATCATGTAGTGAAGTTACTTGAACTTACCAATATGGTGTCCCAATAAAAGAATCCCTTTTCTGTAGAGTGGACTTGTTTTTAGCAGAAACACCAAAATCAGCTGTAGGTGAAATATGTTTTATTACAGAAGGAACTGTTATTAAACTACAATCAACATATTTAAAAAAAACACTGCATTTTAATACAGTTTTAACGTATAATATTCTTTACTTAGTTTGAAGTCAGTGAATTAACTTGAAAATGTATTATAAACACAATACAATCATTTACTGCTACAAAGGAAAAATACTAGAAATTCATGCAAATAATGAATAATGCTAAACTAGTTGGACAGTATTTGTTTTTTAAATAAAATATTTCATATAGTTCCTTGTAAGATAAAAAATATGCATCTAACATTGTACGCAGATCTTATATAGTTAATGTGATTTTGTAAAGTGAAGTTTTAAGCCACAGGAAATCTCAAACATATCAATAGGGAATTATTATTATTAGAATGTAACAAATACATATATATTCTAAAAAGACCTACAACACAAGTACATAACACGTGTTCATAAGATTTTTTTCTTGGCTATGAAGTTTGATTTAAATGAAATATTTTTTCAGACTCAAAAACCTTATTACTAATCGCATTGTACATTGGAGTTCAAAATTCTTCCTAATTTGTTTTAGCTAATATATTTTGTCACACAATATTTATAGATTATACAAATCTTCTATGGAAGAAAATTGTTCTGGGATATTCTAGCTTGGTTGCTATAAACTCCTTGCCTGCCAAAAATGTTGGATACAGTTACAGTCCTAACACAGTACTAACAACTGATGGAAATACTACAATTTCTCATTTTATATCAGTTTATACAAACCTATATGTTTATAAAACATTAAGAAGTTTAAATTACAAGTAAGATCTTTAGTGATAATTTTAGTTTTTTCTACAACAAAGTAGGACAAGGTGCTTGCATAAGTGAGCTAACAAGAAACATCTGAATAACTAAGTTACATATCTGTTAAAAGGTTGTGTGTGTGTTAAATCACAGTGTTAAATAGCCATGCTTTTAAAAGTTTCTAGAATGAACTTGAAGAAAGCATGTAAAATAGTAACATTAATAACTTTTCAAAATTATTGTTTTTAACAAACCTAATTTCACTCCACCATCAAGAGTCAGTAATATATTTCCAGCTTTTAGATCTCTGTGGATTACTTTGTTATTGTGTAAAAAATCTAACCCTTTACACATCTCCCGACACACATACTGGATCTGTGGCTCTGTCAAAGGTTTCTCCAAATCCATCATGATGGTATCGACAGCTCCTCCTTCACAAAACTCAATTAACATCTGCAAAAATAAATCAACTCAAATTTGATACCCAATATCAATAAAGAAAATTACACAGAATCTATTTATATACTTTTCATTTAACAAAATCTCAATTTCACACTGTCAAAATTGAAATACACAGATAATTATCTTTAGTAGCACATTTTCCCACAATCCAAATTGTTTCACTCTTTTTCACTTTATTTTGTAATTGGTCTTGATTAAGGTACCAAAAGTCTTAATTTTTTAAATAAAAATGGATTTCAAAAAGTTCCTCCTTGCTGAAATGATAAACAGCTTTCATTTCCTATTCTTCCATCATTTACACATAGTTTTGTTAAGACAAAAAAAAAAATGGTGTTTTCACACTTTCTAAGATCTACATGGTTCCCCTACACTTTATATGATGACATCCACAGAAGGCCAGTTTCTCCATTATTTGTTTTAAGTGACATTTTTGTACCAATGAGGGACAGGCAAGTGTCCATCCAGACAGAACTAGATGTTTTGGTTTGATTAAGATGATATTGATGTCCCTCCAATTGACAGGTAGCTAGAAATGACCCAAAAAAAAGAAATGGTCAGCTGCATATACCTCAAGCACAAGGGGACCAAGATGTGTTCATGTACAAGAAGAATCTTTGAAGAAGCCCAACACTTGTGTACAACTATGATGAGAAGCATTTCTTCTTCATACACTCTCTCACTCTAGTAGAGAACAGAAAAACTGTGAGACAGTTATCACTACACAATTACACTTTTGTCAGCTGCCAAACCTGTAAAGCAGCTTATAAGTCAAATTGTTCAGGATCATTCACTATGAACATGAACAATGTAGACAGGAAAATAGAGTGCTTACAGGCTGTAGTCATTCTTCTAAATTCTTCTAAGATCACATAACCTAAAGAAACAGTGCAGTAGGTTGAATTAATACCATGAACAACAATGATGCTTAGTTTAGAGACCTCCAGCACAAGTAGAGTTGACTGTACTTGACACTGTCCAGCCCCAAGACGCTGAGAGAGAAAGTACCTACGATAGAATTTGATTAATATTACACAAATCAAAGTGGGAAAGTTACAGGAAAAGATTGGAAATTCACCCAGAATTCAAAAGGAAAATGACTGCTGCCTTCATTCTGAGGAAAGTTAGGTAAATAAAATTAATTATATCACAAGCAAGAGAATCAAACACATAGAAAAATATGACTATAACTTATCTCAAAAACAGGTTACAAAATAGTCCTAACTAATCACACTAAGAGCTAAAAAATAAAAAGTTAAAAAAATCAACTTTACCCATAATTTTTCTTCATAAAAAAATGCTTCTTGCAGTGACACAATGTTTGGGTGTTTACATTCAGTGAGAATATCAATTTCTACACTAAAGTCTTCTAGATCATCTTCTCCTTTCAGCTCACAGATTTTTGCAGCAGCAAGTGCACCATTCTCTTTGTGTTTTGCCTATAAAGATAAAGATTAAAGCTGAATAAACAACTAGATGTGGCGCTTGCTTTTCAAATTCACATGTCATGCTCTGTTGTAACCTACAGAGTGAATAATTCTTCTCGTGATTCATGGCATGTGCAAATTTTACTGCCATCATGACAGTGCAAATTTGAATGTTAAGCATCCCTCATGTGATATAATTTCAGTATCTACTGACTGACAGACAACACACTACTGTATAATGGTGCAAGTAGTTGAAACAGGTGACCCCTCCAGTAGATCTTTGGCCCTTTTTGGGGAAATCATAAAGTTCACATTTATACTTCATTAATTGATCTATTCCATATAATTAAACCTTTCTGAGCTATCTCCCAGTAAAAATACTAATGTGTCACAAACAAAAATAAAACAACCTATAACCTAAGCATTTTTTGAAAGTAGGCCTTTCTTCAATAGGAGAAAACTGTATTAATATATCCTACATATCAATATTGGACACGTAATGGTACAACAGGTTTGGTACAACAACATTTACTAATGTTCTACACTAGCTATGTTAACAGATTCTACATATCTGTATTGGACACGTAATGGTACAACAGGTTAAGTACATCAATATTTACTAATGTTCTACACTCGCAGTGATTTAGTATGAACAATTACATCACTGGTTTCCAGTCCCCTTTATTTATACATACCTACTTAGTATGAACAATTACATCACTGGTTTCCAGTCCCCTTTATTTATACATACCTACTTAGTATGAACAATTACATCACTGGTTTCCAGTCACCTTTATTTATACATACCTACTTAGTATGAACAATTACATCACTGGTTTCCAGTCCCCTTTATTTATACATACCTACTTAGTATGAACATAGGTATGTATAAATAAAGGGGACTGGAAAACCAGTGATGTAACTGTTCATACTAAGTAGGTATGTATAAAGAATATTAATGGGAAAAAATGTTTACTGATGGTTCATTACTTTTTATTCCATTCATGGTAACTTATATCATTGTCAGTACTTAGTCTTAAATTAATAATACTAAGTCCAGAAAGGTTAAACTTTAATAGTACATGTATTCATTATTTACATGATTATACATTTTGACATTTCACCTTTCTATCATATATTCTCTATTTATTTTTCTGTATGAAAAGACAAATGAGAATAAACTGCAAACAAAATATTCATGTGTGTCAAAACTCAGTAAAAAGCAATGGTAAAGCCATTAATTGATGCAGTGAAACCAACTATTTACTGCTTGCTTTTGATGGGTTGGCCCAACAACCTGGAGAATACATTGGACATAGCTGAGTCAGCCTGTGATGTGTGGTGAAGCCATTATTTGCTTTTGATGGGTTGACCCAAGGTTGGCAGTAGCCTGGAGAATACATTGGACATACCTGAGTAAACCTAACTGTGAAGTGTGGTGAAGAAAGTTTCATGAAGTGGGCTAGGCATGTCTTAGCTAGTTTGACTTAGTTCCATAGTAAAACAGTAGTTAAGGAACTACAAATGCTTTTTCATACTGTGAAATTTTGTATAATGCCCGATTGCTTATATGGGTGGTATTATATAAGGAGCAACCATATTTCATCCAGTATAATAATGTATTAGCCTATACTATACATGTTGTAGATCAGTGGCTTGGACCAAATAACATCTAAAAATCTTACTTGGCTAGTCTAAGAGCTTTGATATCAATCCAAGTGAAACATTTGAACATTTTGGAATGCCACTCAAGGGGCCTATGAGACAGGCTTTAAAAGTTCACTACACTTGTTACTCCTTTGAAAAAGAGAAGTGGCAGTTTAGACAATTCCACCTGATGTATATCACTGGTTCTGGCTAGTGTTGGGAGGACTATTAAGGCTGTGATTAACAACAGAATTAAGCCTATTACCTACTTGTGTATTTTGCAGCCATGTTAAAAATTGAAAACTTTTAGACACTGACAAACAATTCCCAAAACAATAATTATACAAGTGAAAAAAATTAACAGAAAAATAAGTCATTCTGTGTGTTTCTGTAGCTAACAATGAACTTCTTTATAAAATTCTTGTCACCCATAAGGTTTTCTCATGCACGCAATAGGTTTATCAGTACTGTTATGCATCTACTTGTTTGATAATTTTTGGTAAAAATTCTTTCTGAGAAACTTCAGCGATACAAGTCCCTTCTTGATTAAAACTAGTTTATTCTTTCACGATACAACTTTGTAATACACTTAACAACTTTTATAACACACGCTATAAATCACAGTGATTCACACATTTTACTTATGGTGCCTACTGTTTGCTTGACTCAATTATCTCTATCTTCAATCTATCTGCATATCTCTTCGATCACACTAGTTTTTCTCGCCAGGCTTGTATACTAAAAAAGAGGGTGCCTCGAACACACTAGATTTGTCAGGAAAATTCATGATCCTTCCGGAAACTCCAGCGCGCATACTCCCAGTGTCGCGTGACTTCCGCTGTCATAACAGTACTATAGATATACGTCTCAATTGTGAATTTAGGCCACCTTCAGTATTTGAATGGATCACAAAACTTGGTTACCGAGTATCTGGTAAATTCAGTTGGCCAGAACTGTGATATACACTGTAGATGTGGTTTCATGATTCATATGTACCACACACAGGTTGATTTACAAATCTGTGATCAAATTCACTATCTAGAGAAATATATTTCCAAGCAAAATTAGCACAAGTTAATGGGCTAAGTTGTGATATCACGAAGTAATGAACGTCTACAAAGTCAGATTCAAAAGTTTATAACTAAGATTTTAATATAAGTTTTAATTTCTTAATTTCAAAATGAAATATTTAAATAATTTCTCATTCTTCATTTCTGTATCATGATACCCATTTTAGGTTTTATTTCTACAGACATTTCCAAGCTAAAAGGGAAATTTTTAGCCTCTAACTTCATGCTTTACTATACCCAACAAAGTGAAACCCACATGCTACGCCCTCCTATCACATCCTGTCTTTCAAAAAATGTTAATAATTTCCTCTAGCATTTGCTGTTGGGTTAGTTAGAACCAATAGAAAGAATATTTTAATTTACTGAATTCTCCATGTCACTGAGAGATTGTTGATCAATTGGAAAACCCCACACATAAATTACAAATTTATTTTTATGTATAATGTGTTATTTATTGTTATAAAAGTAACAAATATAAAAATTAGAAATGTATTAGTTTACATAAGCAAGTTTACATGGGGAAAAAAACTCACAAATTAATCCATGAGAAATGAGCACAAACAGCTCATGCATGATGTAATTCAATACTTTATTTACCACGACTTGCTCTATGCTCTTGCTATGTGATTTATTCCTTTGTTATGCTAATTTATTTGTTAAACATGAATCAAAGAGAAATAACACAATAAAATTAAAAGAAAGCAGTTGTTAAATGATAAGAGGACTGAAGGGTTTAGGACAGATAACTATAATTGTCTGTTACAATACGTAGTCATTCTACAAAAAAAAAAAAGGGTAATTTAGATTTACTTTGGTTTTTTTACTAGATGGTTAAAATAACATCAAATAAAGTTTCACTGAAATAAACAATTTTTATATTCATTTAGCAGATTCTAGAAATTTGAAAACTGTAATAGAAAAAAGTATTTTTATTCTTACCATAAAAATCACCTTGCATTCAGATTGACTCAGTAAAGCCTTCAGAAATTTACAGACAAACCTTTACTACAAATACTTCATTAAAATTCTGATTTTTTTTGTACAACACTTTTCAATCAAGTATAATAAATGCTTACAAAGTTTTTTTAAGATAGTAAATTCAGTCATAATAAACATTAACTCTCCAGTACAAACACTGGTTCAACCTCCTTCACCTAGGTTTAATGTGCCTGCCATGATATATTGATTGTCATCCACGTAATAAAAGTTGACACAGGTTGGCTCCTTATTGTGTTGAGAATGTTCCAGTGACACAGGTTGGCTCCTTATTGTGTTGAGAATGTTCTTATGATACAGGTTGACTCCTTATTGTGTTGAGAATGTTCTAGTGACACAGGTTGGCTCCTTATTGTGTTGAGAATGTTCTAGTGACACAGGTTGGCTCCTTATTGTGTTGAGAATGTTCTAGTGGCACAGGTTGGCTCCTTAGTATGTTGAGAATGTTCTAGTGGCACAGGTTGGCTTCTTAGTATGTTGAGAATGTTCTAGTGGCACAGGTTGGCTCCTTAGTATGTTGAGAATGTTCTAGTGACACAGGTTGGCTCCTTAGTGTGTTGAGAATGTTCTAGTGACACAGGTTGGCTCCTTAGTGTGTTGAGAATGTTCTAGTGACACAGGTTGGCTCCTTAGTGTGTTGAGAATGTTCTAGTGACACAGGTTGGCTCCTTAGTGTGATGAGAATGTTCTAGTGACACAGGTTGGCTCCTTAGTGTGTTGAGAATGTTCTTGTGACACAGGTTGGCTCCTTAGTGTGTTGAGAATGTTCTTGTGACACAGGTTAGCTCCTCTGATTACTTTAGCAAACAAAACACGTGTATAATATTAAATTTCTATTCTGATGGACAAGATCTATTGTAAGACAATAATACTACAATTCATTCTCTCCAAATCTGGTTTGCAAGGCAGGAAAGTGAATTCAGTATTCTTCAATGTCCACATCTCAATGAAACTGAGAATCTTTTAAGTTGAGCTTGAAAGTTGCATTCAGCAACGTAAACCCATGCTGTCATGTGTGGACGATTTGCAGACTACACTACTCAACAAAAATCAAATCTGTGCTATTATTGTGGTAAAAGATGGGTCAACTCAGTATTATAAGTGAAAATCCTAAACTGACTTTTTGCAATAATTAGGACAATTGCCAGTTCCAAATCTTAATGAACTTAGACCAGCAGTTTGTAATTTGTATGCTGAAAACCAATCCTCATTAAAACATAAAATTAGTGGTGAAAGAAAAAAAAAGCTAGTTAACATAATTTTCACTAAAACCTGCCACATTTAAGCTGCCTGATAGAT